ACGCTATGATGGTAGTGTACCGGTGTCATGTAATTTGATCTCCAACTAGATGTGAAAAATCTCTCATCCACGTTGAATGTCATGTTGGCGGTATTTCAAACCATTCACGCATTGTCGGGAGGTTTCTCTCTGGTCCCAAGTGCCAACCTTCTTTGTTCTTGTTCAGGGCTGGCCCAGGCCCAGTGCAAGCAGGGCGACCGTCCAGGGCCCAAAAAAATTAGGGGCACTAAAATTATTAGGGTGGTATATTTATATATCTTTTATAAGAGTATAAATATATAAAATTTAGTTCAAAGACACAGAAATTTAACTAGAAGTGGTGGTTTGTCATTTGAAAATAATGAGGAGGTCTTGGGTTCAAAACACCATGTGTGCTTATTTACTTTCTATTTTTTACAAATTTCTTCTTATAAGATTATAAATTTATACAATTTGGTTAAAGAATCAAGAAGTTTAATTAGAAACAATGATTTTTGTTGTTTAAAGTTAACAAGAGGTCCTAAGTTCGAAATGCTATGTGCATGTTTATTCTTTTCAATTTTTACAAATTTTTGTTTGGTTGTTAATTTATTTTTAGTTACTATCTAGTAGCTATGTGGGTTGTTATTTTTAAATATTCGTTTTAATTCAAGTCTAATCTTCAACAAAGAATAATACGTAGACCAAATTTGCAAATTATATGACGTGTCATCAAAATGTTTAATTTAGTGCCCATTCATTAACAATTAAAACTCGAAAACATCATTATTTTTTAGTCCCATATTGAGAATGTTAGTAAATAAGAAAAAAAACATCTCACGATTTATTCAAAAACACATTCAAAGTTCAGATGGAAAACAAAACTCATCATTTATCTATTGGTAAGCCCGAAGTTTTTTTGTTTCCCTCTCTCAATACAAAATAAATTAGTCTTTCCGTGTTTCTAAATTATTGAGTTTGAAATGTTTTTCTAAGTATAATTTTTTCGATGTCTTATGTGTGTAAATAAATAATTTTTTTACATGAAGTTAGGGTACTTTTTTTGACGTCGCCCCGGGCCTCAAATATCTCTGGACCGGCCCTGTTCTTGTTGCAAGAAGCGATGCAGATTGATTTGTCTTTGTCGGAAGTAAAGGCTTGGCCTACAAGCTATCTAGTTAGCTGGTCCTAAAGAAGCTTTGTGGCAGAACAGTCACGTTACCTTTGCTTTTTAGGTCGTGATGGAAATATTGCGGGCCAGTGCTCGAACAAATATTGAGTCAGCGACAAGAAAACCATTGGATCACAAGGTTGCTCCAATTACTAAGTAGAGAAATCATTGTGATCTTGAAACCCAACTTTTAAACTCTCGATTATTACATGGGGCTCATGGCCTCGAGAGAAACTTCCTGCAACAAGAATGTCATTATGAATCACGTTTTATCATGTGTTTCAACTTTTACAGCAGTACGTGACTGATTTGAAATATCGATCCAATGACATTTCCATTTCATCGAAATCGTTCTCCGTGGCCTCAAACAGACGCGTTATTGGTCCGTGAAGTGAAGAGTAGGAGGGACCCAAGTGAAAAAGAAGACGCAGAAACGTGTTTGGAACAGTGTTTGGATGGTGATATAGATTCGAATGGTCCACTCAGCATGTGGGGTGGGAGTTTCAGTGCTTTGTCTACATCCCACGATGCCATAATCTTTTATTTGTGTGATTAAATCCATGGTTGATCATGATAATATTGTTTTATCACAAAGTCAATTAGAACAAGTGAACGAGTTGAGCTTCTAGTATATTTCCAGCAACCGGGACAAAAGAGAATTTGTGCGTCCACTCGATGGGCAAGGTGTGTCTCAGAGTTTTATAATATGTTTACTAATTCGTAGTTTGATGAGGATGAATATAATAGAAAAGGAGTCAGAATTATCATTCTCGTTGAAACTGTTTACTAAACTATTTAAAATTGAAATAAAATGATATAAATTCCACGTAAGTTGTTTACTAACCGTCTAATAAATAAGTAGTTTGTAGGTGATTAAAATGACTTTTAAATTATTGTGACATTTGAAGCCAGATTGTGTGTGGGCTTGGTAGAAGCATATTCTCTAGAAATATTTGCATCATCAACAAACTAGTCCACAAACTTGGATGATCAGTCAAAATCAGCTCTAGGTTTGGACAAACTAAACCAGCAGAGTAGGGCTCCACTCTGGCAGTGTTTGAATTTTGTGGCTGATTTTATTTGTAATTCCATTACAAGAGAATTACGGGGGAGTTGATGAACTTTAAATACAAACAACGGATTAAATATTGACGACGTATTTATATTTTTAAAATGGTTGAATTTATAAATGATTCATTTTAGTCAATTTCTCAAAATTATATGTTTATGATTTTATGAGCTTTTAATATGTTGTATTTTATTGATAAAGCGATATTTGAACCTACTATAGTTTACAAACTAAGATTTGAATTCAGGTCCAAAGAAGTAGGTACATTGTAATAATAATTTTTTTTTCTTTTGATAAACCATAGGAAATATACATTAAACCATGGGAAGAGAGGTTCAAACATGAAATGGATCTGTGACATCACTTTTTTTACACAACTTTGGACACACGTTTTTGTGGGGCTCATTTTGTAATGTATTTTAACGATCCGAACCGTATCTTTTAGAACATCATTCATAGATCATCCTTACAAGAAATTAGGCAAATGCAAAATCATAGACATTCATTTGTAGTAAAGAAAATAGACGATTACGGTTCTACAAAGAAGCCCTAAACCCTTAATCCAACAATCATATGATTTTAAATTTGAATGATTTTTTGTAGACATAATCTTTGAAGGAATACTCAAAAGATAGACAATTTGGTTCATTAAAATATATTACAAAGTTGGCCCCACAAAAACTTGTGTAAAAAATTATATATAAAAAAAAAAATGATACCACGGATCTCTCCCCTTCATTGATAAAGGGACGTTTGAACCTGCTTAATTTACAAGAATTGGGATTTGAATTCAGGTCCAAATGAGTAGGCACACTATCACAACAAATTGTTGTTGTTTTTTTTTTTTTTGGACAAACGATGGGAAATTTACATTAAAATATGGGAAATGAGATTTGAACACGAGACCTCAAGTGTAAAGACAAAAGCTCCTAACCAGTTGAGCCTACAAATCACTTACCACTATCATAACAAATTGACTTAAACCACATTTGCTCCATAATTAGCCATGAATTACCAAAACCTGAAATTAGGTATGAATGGATTAGCGTAACCTATCTATAGATGCTTCTGTTTCAAAAGTAATGGAAGGCAGCCATTTAAGAAGAGACATAATCTTAAATATTCCATTCGAGTCTTCAAGTAAGTTTTTCCAAAGTCAAGGTTAAGAACTTATGAGTATGGAACCATGAATAAATATTCAGATCAACCCTTTTTAGAAGGATTAAATGGCTTCTCATAAATTGCAGCATATGTTAGGAATGTATTGACCAAGACCAAATCTTCTACACCTAAAATAGATGTAATCTTTCTGTGGTTCCAATCATTAACTCGCACGTGTTTATAAATTTAACTTTTCTTAAGTTTATTATCATAAACTTAATATATGTCGAACAATGACTTGGCCATAGAGAGGCCACCCCCATTTTGATTACAGAAGATTTAATCTCTGTCAATACATTCCTAACATATACTGCTATTTGTGAGAAGGCATTTATATCCTTCTTAAAAGTGTTGACTGGGGACAGTTTGGGTGCTGAAGATTTGATTTCATATTGACTACTTGTCACTGTCCATTAACAAATTCAAGTAAAAAACACGTTTATTGTAATATATTTTTTTCATTTTCTTAATTCAAGAATTGCATTCGGTGAAATTTTGTATTATGAATCTAATGTTGGGAAAGAATTTTATGTGTGATAGTCGCACTCATAAACTAGAACAAGGATTGTCTGCCCTCACACTTTCGGTATCTTTCCGTACCTTTCTGTTTGTGTGGTTACGGTTATTATTCATTTTTCACACTTTCGGTATCTTTCCGTACCTTTCTGTTTGTGTGGTTACGGTTACCATTCATTTTTGTCTTATTATCTCTATAAAAAATAATATAAAATGTTGACGTGACTTAATCGTGACCACACAAAACAGGAGGGCACTAGAGGGCAGACAATTCTTGTCCCAACAAAAGTGGAAGGACAAACAATCCTTGTCCCATAAACTATATTATTAGTGTACGATTATATATGCAACTAATAAAAAGTAATTGACTTTGTTTTTTTTTTACTTTGTAGCCCACCAAGGAAAAAGAAAAAAAGAAAAAAGAAGAAAGGCTTCTACTTCAATCCATCAAAATATTCTACGTTTCCGAAACTTATCATATATTTCTATTTTTCAACCAAAAAGAAAATTACTTTTTATCTTATGAGGATGCTGATTGCTAAACCACACACTTGTAGAAAATAATATAGATAGTCTTTTATCTTGTATTAAAATAAGGTTTTTGAAATTGAAAACATCCAAATCATATAGGGAGGGTGATGTGTCAAACCCTGATCTTGACACCTCACATCCAAAAGGTTATCTTCTATTAAATCTCGAGTGTAACTAGGTGTATGATTATTTATGTTTAATACTATTACCACACGAAATTATAAATAAGCACAAAAAAAAAACAAATTTAAGTATGCTTATGTTATATACAAAAGTAAAAATACAGCCAAGTACACGTAAATTTTTCTCCAAAATTTACTATTACCATGTCCAACAGGAAAATTTTCAAACCAAAGAAGAAAATGAAAGTCAAGTAAAATCCCATTAAAAACAAGAAGAATTTCAACCCCAAACAAAAGTTTTGTCCTTTTAACGTAATCCCTTCCCCACTAAAATATTAACCAAGAATCTCTCTCTCTAGAAATCAACAAGAATCTCTCTCTTTCTCTCTCTCTCTACCCCACTCAAATAGACCTTTCCTTCTCTCTCTCTCTCTCTCTCTCTTTCTCTCTCTCTCTCTCTCTCCTTCTCTCCTCTCACAAAATCTGTTACTTTGGCACTGTAAGTTTTCTGTGTATGTGTATATAAGTAATAAAATATTTGTTTTTCTAGTTAATTTCCAAATTTTCCAGTTGGGTTTTGCACCTCATGTCTGTTGAAAAGTTCCTATCTTTCATGGACCTCTCAAAGCTCTGCAAATTCCAGAGCTTTTGTTCTCAGAAAGCTAGAGTTTTGCTTCTCCTATCTGTTTTCACCAAACCCTTTTCTGGGTTGCCTTCTCCTTGCTTTGCTCTCACTGGTTGTGGGAATTTTTTAATCCAATAAAATCACCCCCTTTTTATTTTTGCTTCAAGTTACAACTCATTAATACGGTGATTATTTTATTCATTTAATTATTGTGATTGTTATTATTTTATTGCTCTCTAATTACTTCTTACTCCGGAGGAGTTCTTTGGGTGTGGAGATTTTTGAGATTTGGTGATGATGCCAGCCATTCTCCAGCTGGTGAATCTCTGTGTCATTGGCTTTGCTTTTGCTCTCCAAGGATCTGCAGGTACACTTTTAATCCTTGCAAATCTCTGTTGAAGTGTTAATGTTTCGCATAAACATTGTTAGGAATTTAGAACTGTTGGATTAAGTTGTTAATTTTGATATGTTTTCGAAGATTTAGTGATTTAGTGACATTGCAGTGATCTGAGTGTCTGAATTGTTTCGTGCCCGTAGTGTTTGTGATCAAATTCTGCAATCACATTTGTGTTTTAATGGATATATGAAGTATGTTAGGAAAGTGATTCAATGAATCTAATTTTGGCATGTTCTTCGACATGAACATGTTCTCGTCTTGTTGAATTGTCTTCTGCATGCTGCCCGAGTGTAATTTTATGACCAGAGCTCACAGCTAGAGGGTCACCTAGTGTATGCTGATGGCCAGAAATTGTAATGCTCTGTTTTTTAAATGACAATGTCCTGAGAAGTTTGGTGGTTTAGCAAATCCTAGTTCCGATTTCATCTTGATCTGGGAAATTCCTTACCATGTGTTTCATCTGATGAAATGCTGTTTTAAGTCTAAATCGTACTGTACCTGTAAAGTTTAATCTTTTCGATAATAAGAATGGATAATATAATAGGGCTTTGAAGATATCAGGCTTTCATAGCTTGCTTTAGTTTTCTTACGCGCACCGGCGTTTACCTTCTCAGGGTTAAATATATCACCATCACCAGAACCTCTCTCTATGAATCCTCCTGTTGAAACAGCTCCCCCTCCTTTTCCCGACAGAAAGCCATTCACAAGTAATGTACCAATCCCCGGTTTACAGCCAAATGGTAAGTCCCATAACTCTGCTGTTATAGATTAGAAGTTATGATCATCTGATTAAGCTTATAATTTTGATATCGCAGGGTCCAATTTGCACCCGTCACCCACAATGCCACCTCTTATGTCCACCCCACTGCCTCCAAATAATGCTCCTCCACCACTAAGCATTGAAGTTCATGTACCGTCCGCGCTACCAAATAATGCCCCTCCATCACCAACTGTTGGAGGTCAAGTACCACCTATGACACCAAATAATGCTCCACCACCACTAAGTATTGAAGTTCATACACCGTCTGCCCTACCCAATAATGCTCCCTCACCACCAAGTGTTGAAGGTCATGCACCATCTATGCCACCAACTAATTCTCCTCCACCACCAAGTGTTGAAGATCATGCACCGCCTATGCTACCAAATAATGCTCCTCCTCCTCCAAGTGTTGAAGGTCATGTACCGTCTATGCCACCAACTAATGCTCCTCCACCACCGAGTGTTGAAGGTCATGTACAGCCTATGCCACCAAATAATGCTCCTCCACCACTAAGCATTGAAGTTCAGGTGCCGTCTGCACCACCAAATGATGCTCCTCCACCACCAAGTGTTAAAGGTCATGTACCATCTACACCACCAAATAATGCTCCTCCACCACCAAGTGCTGAAGGCCATGTATGGCCTACGCCACCAAATAATGCTCCTCCACCATTAAGTATTGGAGTTCATGTGCCCTCTGCACCACCAAATAATGCTCCTCCACCACCAAGTGTTAAAGATCAGGTACCATCTACGCCACCAACTAATGCCCCACCACCACCAAGTGTTGAAGGTCATGTACCGTCTACGCCACCGACTGTTCCTCAAACAAAGCCAGCGATCAATAAGAGTCCTAGCTCAGTGCCATTTGCTCCAGGTATATAGACCAGCAGAGCTATTTCTGTGATGGATTTCTGTTAAATTGGTTCCAACCAGATATTTTTTGTATGATATTCTCCAGTCCCTGTTGAAACACCTTTGAGGAATTTGCCTCAAATTTCACCGGCCATCCATGCAAGCACACCAGAAACTTCGCCATTTGCTCATCAAAGACATGTGCCAAACAATAAGGTTCCCATACCACAGCCAATTGCTCCAGGTAGATGTTGCATTTTGCAATGACATTACTAGTTCTCAGGTGCTGGTTGTAAGCAGTAATTAGTTTATTTATGTTTTCAAAATACAGCACCTATTTCATCCCTGCCAAGGACATTGGGACCAAATCCACCTATAGTCCATCCGATCACACCGAATGTACCTCCACCTATATTACCTGGTGCACCTTCCACCCCACCCCCATTTTTCTCCTGAAACAATCACATTTAAATTTTACAATTTAGGAACTAGTGAGAATGACCGATTTGTTCTTCTCTGAAAATGCAGCACCAGTTGCATCACCAACTAGCAATTTGCGACAAAACCCGCCATCCGTTCACCCAGTTACACCTGGAGAATCACCATCCACTTTTCCTGGTACTACTTTAAAAGAGCATGATATACAACTTTAGTTTTAATTTTCGCACTGTGATACCTATTTGAATCAGTTCCATGCCTCATTGAATCATGGTTTTTTTAGCAGTTAACGTTGAACCTTTAGTCTTCCGTATCCAAACTTAATTTCAATAGCATTATTCATGTTTTGACTGTTTGTGACAATGTGCCACCTGAGCACGTTTGATCATTGTTATCTGCTGAATAACTAAAAATTTGTTTATTCACTGGCCCCAATATGAGGTTACAGAAAATCAGTGTTATATTGGTCTTCAATTGTGACGCTGCTGAAGCAGTCAACAACAATTATATTCTAACCATTGTAATAATTGACTGACCCTAATATGAGTTTGCAGATCCTCCTGTATCATCTACTCCACCCAGCATCAACGGGAAAAGGGGTCGTTTTCCAGTTGTTGCACCACCATATGAAGCTCCCAAGCCATCACTACCTGTGGACCGCACCCCAGCTGAAGGTATAGAAAAACTGCATATTTCATATTTTTCTGTGCTTGAAAGTTTGTATTGTCAAAGTTTTGGTTCTACATATTGTTTTCTGCTATAGCTCCATCTGTCCACAAACCTGTGGTATCATCTCGTCCCCCGGTTGGACCAGCATATGAAGCTCCCAGGCCGTCACTGCCCAAGGTCCATACTCCAGCCGAAGGTATAAAGAACAAAAAGCTATGCTTCATATTATTTGCTACTTGAAAGTTTGTGTTGTCAAGTATATAAGTCTAGGTTCTGTTTTCTGTTTTAGCTCCTTCTGTCCACAAACCCGTGAGACATTATAAACTTGCTCCTGCACCGTCTATTTCATCCCCTGAACCGTCTTTTGATAAGGGGCAACAATCTCCTGCATCTTCACCTTCAACATTCCATAAGTATCATCATTTTAGGTTGAAAAAAAAAGAGTCTTGGCTCAAGGGCCATCATATCTGGTTTCTCATCCGAGTTCAGAACATCAAGGTTTCATGTTTCACCTGAATTACATGCGCCTAAATCACACTAGAAAAAAATTATTATACTGTGGCTTATCATCTTCTTGGACATTATTAAATTATCATTTGAATACTTAATGCAGGTCCAGTGATGCCACCGGTATCATTTCGAACAGGCAGGCGAAGACACTATGCTCCTCCACCCCTAAATCCAGGTATCAAAGCTTTGAAATTTTGGTGTTTTATTCCATCCCTCACCTGAGAAATGGACCAAACTTTGGTTTTCAACACTAACACAATTTCTACATGTCAGCGTCTTCGGTTCCTCCATCCCATTTACCTGAAGCTCCGTCAGTGACCCATGTTTCGCCTGCTCCTTCTCCATCTTTAGAAGGCTCTACTCACGAAACCAAATGTAAGAAATGATCTTGCCTCTGGTTCTCTGTAATGATTTTATTTCTGAACTTACTGATTTATCTTATTGTCTACTGAATACGTTACCTAATAATTACATGGTTGGAATCACAAGTGCACCCTAAGATTTCTCCATCTGGGTCTTTGGCAAAGAGCCCAAAAGCGCCACCACCGCTGCCACTAGTATTCCCACCGCCACCTCCCAATCAAGGTATATAAGCTAGCAATTTTCTTTAACTGGTGTTCCTGCTCTCTTTATTGATCCTACGACATTCTTCTTCAGTTTTCATACTAAAATGTAATACAAAGGTTCTTCCTTTTTTCAGATTGTTCATCAACTATTTGCACCAATCCATATACAAATACCCCTCCTGGGTCACCTTGTGGCTGTGTCTTGCCTCTGCAAGTTGGACTGCGACTTAGTGTTGCACTGTATACGTTCTTCCCCTTGGTTTCAGAGCTAGCCCAGGAAATTGCTGTCGGGGTTTTTATGCAACAAAGTCAGGTCCGCATTATTGGAGCCAATGCAGCTACCCAGCAACCAGACAAGACAGTTGCCCTCATTGACTTGGTTCCCCTTGGGGAAAAGTTTGATAACACCACAGCTTTTTTGAATTCCCAGAGATTTTGGCATAAACAAGTTGTTATAAAAGCATCGTATTTTGGCGACTATGAAGTACTCTATGTGCGGTATCCAGGTATGTAATTAGACATATGCACATGCATACTCAAGCATTTGTATCAATAATGCTTATCCTTACAAACTACATAAGTATAGGTTTACCCCCATCTCCACCTTCTTCGGATGCTGATGCAATGAATGCGGGGCCATATCCTGGTAATGACAATAATGGAAGGACAATGAAGCCCTTCGGGATTTACGTGCACAAGAGGAAGAATAAAAATGGGCTTAGTGGTGGGGTAATTGCTATTATTGCTTTGTCTACCTTTGTAGCAGTTGCTTTATGCTCTGCTGCTGCTTGGGTTTTTCTGTTCAAATCTAGAGACCGTGCTTCTCAACCAGCAGCAACTCCGCGGGCTTTGCTACCTTCTTCTGAAAAACCATCTGGTAATACGAATCCCAAAAAGTTAATTGAATTAGGCCTTTTCTTTGTGTCAATTAATGGAATTAGGTCAGGTACTTCTGGGACAGTGCTCATAGTACATTGTCATTTCTAATATAGATAACGTGTATGTTTTGCAGGTACTGCTGGGTCGATGATGGAAAGTAGGCACAGTTCCTTGTCGTTATCATTCGCATCCAGCATTGCACCATATACAGGATCTGCTAATACTTTCAGTGCAAGTGACATTGAGAGAGCCACTAACAATTATGACGATTCAAGAGTACTTGGGGAAGGTGGCTTTGGGCGTGTTTATAGTGGTGTTCTTGAAGACGGGACCAAGATTGCCGTCAAAGTTCTAAAAAGAGATGATCAGCAGGGTGGTCGGGAGTTTTTGGCTGAAGTAGAAATGCTTAGTCGTCTCCATCATCGAAACTTGGTCAAGTTGATTGGCATATGCACAGAAGAGCATAGCCGCTCCTTGGTTTATGAGCTCATTCCTAATGGCAGTGTGGAATCTCATTTGCATGGTACCCCCCGCTCTATTCATAATTGTTCTGTTCTTAATCTTAATGAATTTTTTAATGTCGAAGGATTCTTTTTGACAAAGGGCTTCTGTCCATTTTTCTTGCTGTCAGGAATTGACAAGGACAGTGCTCCACTTAATTGGGTACAACGCATGAAAATAGCACTTGGTGCTGCTAGGGGGCTGGCATATCTACACGAGGATTCCAGCCCCCGTGTAATACACAGGGATTTCAAAGCCAGCAATATTTTGCTGGAAGATGATTTTACACCAAAAGTGTCCGACTTTGGTTTGGCGCGAACTGCCATGGATGAGGAAAACAGACATATATCAACACGGGTCATGGGAACTTTCGGGTATGAAATTTCCTCCTTGCTGTATTTAGTGTCCAGATTATGTCTCATTGGTGACAGTCTCTGACATCTTTAAATTCCTAAATGATAATATTCAGGTATGTGGCTCCGGAATATGCAATGACTGGGCATCTTCTTGTCAAGAGTGATGTATACAGCTATGGCGTTGTCCTTCTTGAACTCTTAACTGGAAGAAAACCGGTAGACATGTCACAGCCACCTGGTGAAGAAAACCTAGTTGCATGGGCCCGGCCGCTTCTCACATGTAAGGAAGGGTTGGAAGCTATCATAGACCCACATCTAGGATCCGAGGTCCCATTTGAAAGTATTGCCAAAGTGGCAGCTATTGCTTCGATGTGTGTACAGCCTGAGGTATCACACCGCCCTTTTATGGGCGAGGTTGTCCAGGCATTAAAACTGGTATGCAATGAATTTGATGAGGCGAAAGAATTAGGTTCAAGGAGTTCTAGCCGAGACGATGTGTCCATTGATGTGGCTGATGACACAAATACTACCTCGGGACGGTTGGCAGATACTTTCCAAAACCGATATTCCATGCTGACCTATGATTCCGACCTTGAGACAGAGCGGGAAGCATCATTGTCGAGGATGCTCGGTACCTCAATGGGCACAGGGAGGTTAGATACCGAATCATTTAGGAGGCACTCCAGTTCAGGTCCTTGGGGAACAGGAAGGAGTAAGCAGTTATGGGAGAAACTGAGATCATCCGGGGGCAGTGTGAGCGAACATGGGTTTATGTTCAAATTATTTCAAGGCTCCCCCCATTGAACGCCTACTTACAAGTTTACAATGTTCGGTTTCTTGCTTGATTCCTAAATCTCAGATCACCACGCAAGAAGCGCCCATTTGCAGAACGCCATCACCACAAGAAGTCTGCTGAGCATGGGAACTCGGACATGAGCAAAGTTGTGCAGATGTGTAGAACTGGAATGGATGGAAGTACGAATTCGGATCAACCTTAATAACGTCGAAACGGTAACTGGAGCTTAAGTATATATAAGTAGGTTTAGTGTGATTAACCTACTGAATTGTCAGAGTTGAAGCATCAAAAGTTTTGGACCAAAGGCTGCTAGAAATCAATTTTTTTTTTTAATTTGTAAATATTCTGTGATATTTGTGTATCATTCACATAAAAGGACGCTCTTTGTTACCAACAATGTAGAGAACATTTTGTGCCATGAAATTAATCCATCTGTTCCCTTCTCTTCCAGAGCAATAAAATCTTATTGTGAGTTTAAAATGCAATTTGATTTCACATTACTGTCAAATTAGTTGATGAGATGATCAAAAGTATCCCCAAAAATAGTATAGTAACAAAGTTATTCGTATTAGTTTTGGACAATATGTACAATTAGAATCGGTTACAAACTTTTAATAAGAAACAGAACGTTCCGGACACTCCTAACGCTAGAGGGCATTAAACTGTGGTGTTGATGCACAAAATCAGGCTTATTGTTTATTCGTCCGTCTAGATCTATTTTTCACCCCTTTGCGTCTCTCCTTCCCTGACTATGTGCATCCGACTTATTGTCTGTTTGTCCGTCTAAATCTACTTTTGATTGTAAGCAGCTATATGTGTGCATATTACTCTATTTTTTTTGTGCTTCAAATATATTAGTCCTTTTGTTTTTTTTCAGAAAAAATAATGGAGAGAGCTTGAAAACTTTGAGTTTTAACGATAAAGACAAAATAAAGAGTAAAGTGAATAGTACCAGGATTGACTTTTTAGTGTAAAAATGTGGTTTTTCGTTAAAGAGATGCATTAGTCATGAAATAAACTTTTAGGAGAAGGAGATGGACTAGTCTCATAATGAGATAGTAATAATGTGGTTTAAATTCGTCTTTGACGAGTGAAGATGATACTAAGTGAATTGAAGCAAACATTTAAAAATGTTAAATAAATCCAATAAAAACAAGGTTAAATAAAAAATTGATGAATATAATACGAACTCCAAACGCTGCGTTTGGAGATCAACGGTTGTGATTAAGCCAAAACCCGCCAAAATCGGTAACGATTGCTGCCGAACACCTAGAGGATTCCCGCCTCGGTCAATTAGACTGAGAGAGCATTCCCGTACTCTCTCACCCGCCCCCAGTCTCTGCACTCTCTGTTTCGACCTGAACAGATCAAAGACCGAAGCTTTCGAGAACTTCCAATTCGCCGGCTCCGATGGTAAGCCAAAAGCACTCCAAAAGCACTTTTCTCTGCCTCTCTGCTTCTCTGTTTTAGCTTCTAACGTTTTCGATTTTGTTCTTCCGTTTTCCTTCTCAAGGCTCCGAAGGCAATTACCAGTCCCGTGCCGATCACGTGGTACCCGACCCTCGCCGTCATGATGGTCTCCCTCGGCCTCCTCTTCACCGCTTCCTTCTTCATGTGAGTCCGATCCACCATTGCCAGATCCTTTTTTTCTTAATTTTTTTTTTAAATTTTCCGTTTAGATCTTGTTGTCAATTTAGAAAATTTGGGCTTGCAAATCTCGGTTCCCTGCAAAATTATATGGAAATTGATGAAAAGAAAATTAGAAATGCGGATTTTAGATTCTTGGTGTGGTTTATTTTGTTTGTTTGCAATTTTCTGAGCAGCCAAACAGAAAATTGTGTTTTTGTTGGGCATGCTAAGAATGCATTTGTCACAATTGATTAGTTAACCTTTGAATCGGAGTCTAAACCAAGAAGTTATGAAAACTGAAAGACCCAAATCAGTAAAAACTACTACTTTAGATCACCAGAATCGAGTATCAAAAGTGGGATTTCAAATCGATGATCTGCGTATAAGCATATTGGCTAAAAAGATCAGAGAATCAGGTTAAAAATGGGCATGAGAGGAATCCAAAAGCCTGAAAGATTGCTTAGCAACCATTTGCATGTTTGAGTTGGTATATGTCAGGAAACCCAACGACTCAATCGGATTGATATGTTACATACAGGATTTCCAATCCTGGGGGACGGAAAAAACTACTTGAACGAAGATTTATTTGTTTGGATTCGTAAAGGCGTCACGCAAGACACTTAGCTTTGGTTTTTATAATTCTTAGTGCAGTTTGGAAACCGTTTCGCATAATTCTTTGATGAATCTGCAGCCGGGAATGATACTCCGGCACTTTTAAACCCTCATGTTTCATCTTCGCTATCATCCTTTGTTGTTTCCGTCTTCTGAATATTGTAGTTGATAACAGTAGTATAAATTTGTTGCAGCCATGCGGCGACCATTTCCAGGAAAAACCGCAGTCTTGCGAAGGAAATTACGACAGGAACATTGGCTTCGTTCTTTTTGGTGCGTTTGTAGTCAGAATCCTCTCTTCATCTACCGGTACAATACTATGTTGCTCATTGTTGTGCTTTTTCTAACGTTCCAACTGTTCTCTTTGGTTTTCAGGGTTTCGGAACCTTGTACGTACTGCTTGCATCGGGCGTTTATGTCTGAGGTTTTAAATTATGAAATTTTGTTAACAAAAATCAGTGATTTACATTAAGGATATGATATTGTTGACATTGTTTGTTAAATGTACTCTTATGGTTCTTAAATGGGACAAGTTTGGTTAAACTGGTTTATAGCATGATTAAACTCCTCACGCTTTGTTGGTTATTCTACATCGGCGAGTGGGAAGAAAAAAGAAGAGTTTAGATAAAATTATCTCACTCTAACTAATACCGAGACTCTTTCTGATAAAACTCCTCACGGAAACGTGGTATGGACAAACTAGCGGTTACACCCCTCCAATTTGTAATACACGTTTCAATCTGAAAGTTGCATGAAAACAAAATAAAGCACAGGATTCAGAAATCCACTTCCCCACAATCCTCTCGTTATTTTCAAGGTTGCCATGCTGAATCCATTGCTTCCAATTCCTCTTCTCTTCATCTTCTTGTTCCTCGTCAAATGGATATACAGCACAACAAAAACAACCCACAAAACCCTACCTCCTTCACCACCGAAGTTCCCCGTACTCGGCAACCTCCACCAACTTGGCTCGCGCCCTCACCGATCCCTACAACAACTCGCTCACTGCTACGGCGAGCTCCTGCTGCTTCACCTCAGCATCAGACCGGTGCTCGTAGTTTCTTCCTCCGACGCAGCTCGCGAGATCATGAAAACAAATGACGCCACCTTCTCCAACGCACCAAAGCTAGCATTTGTTGACAGACTTCTTTATAAAGGTAAAGACGTTTCTGTGGCTCCTTACAGCGAGTACTGGAGGCGAATGAGAAGTATATGTGCGCTCCAGCTCTTGAGTCACGAAAGGGTTCAGTCTTTGTGAGGGAGGAAGAGCTGGGGTTGCTGGTTGAGCATGTAAAGCAGTCTAGTTTGCTGTCATTGCCGGTGAATTTGAGCAAGATGTTCACTTCACTTACGAGTGATGTGGTCTGTAGGGTGGCTTTCGGGAGAAAATATAGTGGCGGGAAGTGAACGTGGGAGAAGCTTTAAGGAGTTGCTTGGGGAGTTTACTGAATTGTTGGGCGTTTTTAATGTTGGGGATTTTATTCCATGGCTTGGTTGGATTAATCACATCAATGGATTGGATGCAAAAGTGGAGAAAGTTGCTAAAGAGTTTGATGAATTTCTGGATGTTGTAGTTGAAGAACATGGCGAAATTTCAAAGACGAAAGAGAAGAGCTCAGCATGTGTGGATGAAGGTGAAGATAGAAGGGACATTGTGGATATCCTGCTGGAAGTTCAAGAGCATAGCAACGTTGGTGGTTCTTCCGTTGATAGAGATAGCTAGCATCAAAGGTACCATCTTGGTAAGTGTTTTCTTCTCTACTGGCATGGTATCTGAACTCAGCTGAACACATTATCCTGGTCAACTGGTCTAACCTACATTTATGACGGCTCCAGAGCTTAATTGTTTAAGAATTTTTTGTGATTCGTGGTATGCTATTGGTGATTTATGAAAACTCATAGCTTTTATGTCATTGTTACGAGCCTTGCATCTCTCCATAAGTTTGGTACTGCAATTTTAATATAGAAAAAATATGCATAAATGAATCAATTATGAACTTCTAATCAATAATAGAAGTAGGAGTCTCTAAACAAACAATAAGCCGTTATACCGCAGTTTAGTGTTCCTCTCAACTTACTTTTTAATTGATGTTTGTAACCAGTTTTATTTGTGCATTAAAAGCGGACGAAAGATTTCAATAATTTGTTATATTAGACAATTTAGAGTGTCTGCTGCACTGCACCATTGATCAAGGCTTATCTTTCTTGGTTTGTTGTAGGACATGTTTGCAGGTGGAACTGATACAACATACACAGTTCCAGAGTGGGCAATGACCCGATTCCTAAGGCACCCTAGAGTGCTGAAAAAATTGCAAAACGAGATTGCAGGAATTGCCAATGGCAAACAAGACATAGCAGAAAGTGACCTAGAGAAAATGCACTACCTAAAAGCCATGATCAAAGAGACGCTTCGCTTACATCCTCCGATCCCATTACTGGCTCCCCAAATCAGTGGAAGATGTTAAAGTGAAGGACTATGACATTGCAGCAAGAGCCATGGTCTTCGTCAATGCATGGACAATCAGAAGGGACCCTGCGCTGTGGGAATATCCTGAGGAGTTTAAGCCGGAAAGGTTTGTGAATTCTGCTGCGGATTTCAAAGGGCAGGACTTCGAGTTATTGCCGTTTGGAGCCGGGGAGGAGGGGCTGCCCTGGAATCTTGTTTGCCATGGCAACTATTGAGCTTGCGTTGGCAAATCTTGTGCACAAGTTTGATTGGGAGTTGCCTTGTGGAGCAAGAATTGAGGACTTAGACATGAGAGAGTGTAATGGTATTGCCATCCATAGAGAAATTCCTCTTCTCGCTGTGCCCAAGTTGAGGTCTTTCTAGGATGTCTTTGTTTTTACCTTCCTTTTGGAAGGTTAATTAGAGCATCTTCAAAGGAGATGTCAAAGATAAATGTCAAAAGATAAATGTCAAATGTTAATTTGATGGTTGATGTGGCAATGTCAGATTTTCTCTTTTTCCAACCGATATATTTTTTTTGTTATAAATGATATTTGTATGACTCATTTTAAAAAGAAATCAATTAAAATAAATTTTCAAGATCTATAATTGGTGCATTAATGTGATTCACATAATAAAATAATTAAAAATTATTTGACATGATCTTTTTTCATATGTTAATTTGACATATGAAAACTCAGAACATCTCCAAAGAAGATGTCAAAATGTCCACATAAGATATAACAGTAAAAAAGACCACACTAATGTTCTCCAACCGAAATGTCAAA